CCATGCATCCCCAGGCACAACCTGTCATGCATCAGAAAGTGAAACATGAGCAGCCTATGGGACCAGGCAGATGACCCGTGGGCAATCCACAGGTGACCCAATTTACCACCTATCTACCATATGCCCAGGTTGAGTTAGTTGACATTTGGAGACACTTTTGGCAGAAACAGGGGTAGCCCTTTGTTTCTTGGATATTGCAGTTATGGGACCTCATGGTGGATAGTGTGATATGCCCTGGTGAGGAGATAGAAATATTGGCCTCTATCACCATGCACCCATCCCTGAGGCAGTGGCTGCAGAATAGCCACAGGTATGCACGAGGGCCAGGTAATCACTCCCTAATGGATTGGGTGAGTGCAGCTTCCCAAACTGTGTCGGCAAATGTTGGAGAACTGCCCAAGATTGTTAGTAAATGGAAAATGCATGCAGAGGTAGTCCAAATAATTTGAGAGCTGGGAATGCAGCAGTCCAAGTTTAATGTGAACACTTGTGGCCCGGATGATGAAAACTTTACAGGCAGCATGAGAGACATAGTGCTGCAGAATGCCCCATTAATGTCCTTTGGGTCACTGATGGCCATACTGGCCCCATACATTGGTTGTCCTATACATGGGGTAATGACCATGATAGCCAGCTTGGATGAAGCAGAGGATAGGAGATAAACAAAAGGTGTCTGAAAGGTGGCTAAGACCAAACTCCCAAGAAATACTTTTGATTTTATCCAGAAGGGACCAAGCAAGACTAGCCATAATCACATGTGGCCTGACTTGCTTGCAGCAGGATTTGATAGCAAGAAAATTGACTGGCAGCCAAATGCAGTTCTGTTTGCCTTGTGGTAGTAATTGTGCCCTGAACAGCTTTTGACTAAGGAGCAGGCCAAGGTGCTTGTCTTTGGGAGCAGGTGAGGACCAGAGGCCTCATGCTGGATTGGCAATGATGAAGCTGATGCACTGGCTAGGGTAAGATGGCTGGAGAGAGCTCCAGCAGCTGATGTAGCTGGTGGATACATTGGAGAATGCAGCATGCTGGCTGCAAGACCGGGTTGTTGATGGCTTGCCAGGTGCCACATAAACCTGAGAAAAAGTGCCGCTGATGGGCAGATGTGCTCCTGATGAGCAGACGGGTGTCCCTGATGGGCAGATAACTCATGTGAGAGTGCCCCTGACACAGCGGCAGGTGGATCTTGTGGGACCACTGCCAAATTCAGACAGTTACTTGTCTTCTGTTTGTATGGACTTGTGGGGCTCCAAACCATATAAGATAGCTATTCCTACAACCATCATTTTTTAGGATGGCAAACCAGCATGTATCTTACCAGAGGGGTGAGAACTTCCCCTGTTGGTACCAATAACCCTTCTGTCTTTTCGCCCATAGTGTTCTGGCTGTAGACACTGCAGCAGAGTCAAATGGGTACATACATACATTGGCGTGATCATCTACTGAATATGCACTGAACTTCACATCGGTATGACTACAAGATTCCCATGGAAAATCATACCAATGATGACTATTATTTGGACATCTGTGGCTAAAGGACAGAACTACAGGACAAGCCTTAAGGCATATTGAAAAGACAATAGGTTGTACAAATTTAAGGGTCATTTACTTGGTAAGGGAACATTGTGGAATATTTTGAGTGCATAGTTTGTACAGCAAGGGACCTTGAAGGGGTAGATTGTGGGGAACATAGAATAGTTTGGTCAGGCTCCCTCGAATCAGGTCTAGATGGGGGGTCGAGCAGCACAGTTCTTGTAAACAAGTTGTGCGTAGGTGGAGTTAGTGTGCATGTGCAGCCATATGTCTTTTTAGTTAATTGCTGTTGTGTGTTCTTCAGTTTGGGAAGCAGAGCTGGCTGACAGAGCTGATGTCTAAAAATAGAGCATGGTTACTCTGCCGGCAGCTGGTTAGTTTTCCTTTGGACTTTGCCAGTAACAGTTGAGTTTCTTCTTTGTGCTGCCTAGCTACTAGATGTGTTTGCAGAATAAAGCCTATTCCTACTTCAGCCAAGGCTCCAACGACTGTTTTTTCTGGTTATCTAGCTCATAGACCTGCGTGTGAAAGGTTTGTGAATGGGCTCAAGGGGTCTGTGAGCACCAGACCATAGCTCTAGCTTTATACCATTCTAGAGATTATTTGCCTCCTAGGTTAAATTCATTCACAGGTTTTTAATTCATTTTTTGGTGACTATTTTAAATGTTCTAGCTTTCTTGATTTCTTTTTCTGTGAGTTCATTGGTGTCATGTAAAAATGCTTCTCATTTTTGCATTTTGATTTTGTATCCTGCAGGTTTACTGAAATTATCAACTCAAAGAGGTTTTTTTGAAGAGTCTTTAGCCTTTTCTATACATGTGATCGTGTAATCTGCAAACAAGGACTATTTGAGTTCTTTTTTTCCAATATGGATGCCTTTTATTTCTTTCTCTTCCCTGATTACTCTGGCTAGTATTTCCAATACTATGTTATATAGGAGTGGTGGGAGTGGGCATCCTTGTTTAGTTCCCTTTTTCAAGAGTGCATCTTTCAGTTTTTCCCCATTCAGGATGATATTGGTCATGGTTGGTTATATATGGCTTTTACTTTTTAATGATACTCTCCCTCTGTACCTAACATGCTGAGACTTTTTATCAAGAATCAGTGTTGGATTTTGTCAAATTCTTTTTCTGTATCTATTGAAATAATAATATGGCTTTTGTCCTTGACTTTGTTGATGTGGTGTATCACATTTATTGACTTGACTGTGTTGAACCATTCTTACATCCCTGGAATGAATCCCACTTGATTGTGGTGTATATGTTTTCCGATGTGTTGCTGTATTCTATTTGCTAATATTCTATTGAGGAGTTTTGCATCTATGTTCATCAAGATATTGACCTGTAGTTTTCTTTTCTTGTTGTATCCTTGTCTAGATTTAGTATCAGGGTGTTGCTGTCCCATAGAATGAGTGTAGGAGAATGGCTTCTGTTTCAATTCTTTGGAATAGTTTGATGAGAATTGGCATTAATTCCTCTTTAAAGGTTTGTTAGAATTCCGCAGTAAAGCAATCTTGGCCTGGGCTTTTCTTTGTTGGAAGACTGCTGATTGTTGCTTCAATTTCATTGCTTGTTGATGGTCTGTTCAAGTTTTCTTTGTCTTTTTGGTTTAGTTTTGGTAGTTTTTTTGTGACCAGTAATTTATCCATTTCCTTCAGGTTTTCTAATTTGTTGGCATATTAATAGTGTCTAATGATAGTTTGCATTTCTGTGGTATCAGTTGCAATGTTTCCTTTTTCATTTCTAGTGTTTTTTTCTGTTTTTTATTTATTTATTTGTGTGTGTATGTGTGTGTGTGTGTGTGTGTGTGTGTGTGTGTGTGTGTGTGTGTGTGTGTAGGGTCTTTGCTCTTTATTTGGTTAAGCAAGGTAATCATTTGTATATTTTATTTCTCAGAAAATAAAATTTTTGTTTCATTAATTGTTTATTTCATTTTCTGGGTATCTATTTTATTTAGTCCTTCACCGATCTTTATATCTTACTGTGTACTAATTTTGGGATTGGATTGTTCTTGTTTTCCTAATTCTTTGAGGTGTAGAGGTAGGTGGTTTATTTGAAATCTTTCTATTCTTTTGATATAAACATTTATTGGAATAAACTTCTGTCTTAGTACTACTGTTGCAGCATCCCAGAAGTTTTGTTAGGATGTGTCTTTATTTTTATTAGTTTTGAGAATTTTTTTTATATCTTTTCTAATGTATTCTTGGATTCTGATGTTATTCAGGAGTGTATTGCTTAATTTCCATGTGTTCATGTAGTTGTTAGTTGGGGAGCCTTAACAAAACCCATTGCATAATTATCCAGTGACCAATTCATTTCCAAATTTTTATGTCCAGTCTCCCTTCCTTGGGGTACCAACGGCATTGTTTCTAGTAACAGCTAACAGTTTTGCAAGCTGCCATTCAGTTACTTTACAACTGGCTGCTTTAAGGAGACATTGGAGTTGGAATTTATGTTGAGTCGCTCTTTTTGTATAAGTATTTGCCATATTTTAAAAGACAAAGAAAGAGAAAAAGCAAGGATAGACATGAAGGTGATTTTAATAAAAAACAAAACAAAACAAAACAAAACAAACAAAAAAAGCTGTATTCAAAAGTGAAAGTGGTTGCAGTTTTCTGGGTACAGGGTTTAGAGTTTACAGAAACTTTTTAAAAGTGTCACTGACCCAAAGAAGAATAAGAATCTCTGTCCTGGAAAATATACCTCATTAATATCTCTGATTTGAGAAAAGAAAAATACACACATGCAAAGAAGGAGCATCATGGATCTTTCAACCATCTCCTGTTTAATTTCTCAGGGCTTTCCTGGAGTCATTAAGTTGGTTATGTCACATCCATTTCCAAGCTGCTTCTTGGTGTGTGACTTTTCCCACCATCCTCCTACATTATCCTTTCATCTCTCCAGGGTTTCTGATAGCAGAAAGGCAGTTACAGAATTATTGGTACTCCTTGACATTCCATTAATTGAATGAAAGTTCTCAAAGATATTTTAAAGATCACCTAGAGATATTTTAAACAGCATCCTCATTATACACTGGAGGCCCAGCATAATTTAGGGGTTTCACAAAGCATTAAGTTAATAACACATTTATGCCTGAGTTGAATTGTCCTGTTTCACCATGTAGAGAAATGACATTATATTCCTCATTTGGCCTATCTCCAAAGTCTCATATATTTGCAAAATCTGGCATGAGAAAACAAAAATTTAAGATATTTTACGTGGTATCATAATAATGATGATTTACCATCTTTTGCCAACATAGAGTATTTAGAATATTCAACACAGAATAATTATTAAAAAGAACTTTTTAGTTATGTTTGGGGAACATGCATGGATAGCACAAACTCACTCAACGGTGATTATTTAAAATTGTATATATTGCCAAATGCATGACTGAAAAAAAATTAAGTGTATTTTTTTTTTCTTTTTTGGAAATAAAACCATTTCCTTCTCTCACCTTTTTCCCAACAGATGGCACCAATCAGATCAATGGAAGGGGATGGAAACCACACTTCTGTGGACATGTTTATTCTCCTGGGACTTTCAGATGAAAAAGAGCTCCAGCTCATCCTCTTTCCAGTCTTCCTGGTCATCTACCTTGTGACCCTCATCTGGAACTTGGGTCTTATTATTCTCATCAAGATTTACTCTAACCTACACACACCCATGTACTTTTTCCTCAGTTCCCTGTCATTCATAGACCTCTGCTACTCTTCTTCCATCAGCCCAAGGATGCTGTCAGACTTGTTACAAGCTGAGAAAACAATTTCCTTCATGGCCTGTGCCACTCAGCTTTTTGTTGTTGCCTGGATGGGTCTGGCTGAGTGCTGCCTCTTGGCCTCCATGGCCTATGACCGGTATGTCGCCATCGGTAGCCCTCTGCAGTACTCAGCCATCATGGTCCCTGGCTGCTGTTGGAAGATGATTGCTGTAGCCTATGGGACTGGTTTTCTCAGTAGTTTAGCTGAAACAGTCTCTTGCTTTCATCTCTTCTACTGTGGGCCAAATATCATTCAACATTTCTTCTGCGATATACCTCCAGTTATTTCTTTGTCTTGCTCCAATCCCATCTTCTGCCAAATGATTGTTTTTCTGGTAGCTATTTCTGTGGGTTTGGGTTCTTTGCTTGTTATCCTCTTATCCTATGCTTTCATTGTAGCTTCCATCCTGAAAATCTCCTCAGTCAAAGGAAGTGCCAAGGCCTTGAACACCTGTGCCTCCCACCTGGCCACTGTGACACTGTACTATGGCACAGCCCTCTCTGTGTACATGAATCCTGGCTCTAGCCACTCCGTGAAGCACAAAGTGCTATCTTTTTTCTATCTTATCTTTGTCCCCATGTTCAACCCTCTGATCTATAGTCTGAGGAACAAGGACATCAAAGAGGCACTCAAAGGGGTGACAAAGACTTTGCATACTTACCTCAGCACAAATAACTTTTGGACAGCTTTTATTATTACTATAAGAAAGATGGAAGTAAGAATAGAAGTGACCTTTTCAGAACACAAGCACAGCTAGGTAAAGAAAGGTGTGAATCTGGCTTCCTTGATTCTTGGTGTCATTGTGTTTACCTGCCCCTTCCAAGTGATCTGTCTCATGCAGTGCCACCAACATTAAATACCATTTAGAAAGTCAGTTTTTGTGAATAGGATGCAGGTAGATTAATCCCTTAAACCGATTATGTTTTCTAGAATAGAGATGCTGATATATACTATATATGTAGAGAAGTGACAAGAACCCAGGATGCTGCACATCCTATTCTTTTCTTCACACTGTTGTTTCTTTCATTTTTCCTTATAAACATCTATTTATATTCCAATAAAAATAAAACCAATGTGCGCATAAAATTAAACATATCATTATTAAAAATATTTTTTAGTTTATATTTGAATTGAAGCATAATTGTTTATACTAATTTATGCGGTAGAGAATTGACCCAGAATTTGTGTACAATATATGATTATGGAATCAATATTATTAGCACGTTCATTATTACAGGTAAGAGTTATTCTTTGTGTCCCTTATTCAGTTACTCCCTAACCCTCCCCCTTTCCACCTGTGTTAATGATTGGTTTATTCTCTCCTTCTAGAATTTCAACATTTTATACCCCTTCCAGTAACATTACAGTTCAAAGACTCTTACTGTCCACACTTCATTATGAGTAAATTAAGCCTAGTGTGTTTAAACCAATGTGATAAGTATATAGAGAAGAGGGCATTACAACTAAAACTGCAAAGTCTGAACCCTTATCCATAGAAGTATGCTGTTTCTGAAGAAGCAAAATACCCTCGAAGTAAGACATTGCTGGTGCCAAGAATGAGCTGTGCCAGCCTCCTGTTTGAATGCTTTGGAGGAAGGCTTCCCTAAGAAGGCTTATATCATAACTTTATGGGCACACATGCATTGGCCTCCCAAAAATATTATCAGAATTACAAATTATGATATCATTTTCCAGATTGCTTTGGAGCTATTGTGTTAAATACATTAGTAAAAAGAGTTTGATTTGTTATTATAATAAAGGTAGGTAATTTTTCTTCAAGGTAAAGGAAGAAATTTAAAAAATCTATTTTCATGAGACTCAAACTTATTTAGAAAAGATGTAACTTATGCTTTCATAATTATCAAGCAGCAGTTGCAGAATGGATTATCAGAGGTCTTTTTAAAACCATTTTTTTAATTTACCATATCTGTCTTAGATATAATAATCTCATTTTAGGGGCCGGCCCGGTGGCGCACTGGATAAGTGCGCCGCTTGGAAAGCACGGCGGCGCTACCGCCCGAGGGTTCGGATCCCACATACAGACCGGTTCCCGCTCACTGGCTGAGTGAGGTGAGGGCGCAACACCGAGGGTTGCAATCCCGTTGCCGGTCCGCGGTCTGGTACGGGGGCAACACTGAGGGTTGCAATCCGTTGCCGGACACGGAAAAAGACAAAAGACAAAATAATAATAATAATAATAATCTCATTTTAAAAGCTATTTTTATTTATTTATTTATTTAATTTGAATTTATCACTATAAAATATAATTAATTTTCTTGTCCCTTTATCAATTCCTCCTTTTCCTCTCTCCCTCTCCCCCCTTCCCCCTATCGACATCATATCTGTTCATATGTCTGAATAAAATCAAGGAGCTGTTGTGATTGTTGTGTCTTCTTTCCCCACTCCCCCCATTCATTTGTTTATTTACTTATTTATTTTTATTACCTTCCACAAATAAGTGAGAACGTGCGATAATAATCTCAACATTTTATGACACTTTTTACAAATGTTGCCAGTCACCTTTTTAAATACCATTTTTAATTCTCATGAAACATCATGAATTAATTGAGAACCTTAAGCCCTGAGCAGGTACATGTTGACAATTCAAGAAAAAAGCTGGGGTGTTTTCATCAAAAAGATGGTGTATCCTTTGTGCCTTTCCAGTGCTCATTGGAGGGAAAGGTGGGCAAATAACAAAATGGTAATGTTATTATTTCACCAGAGTGAGCAATGTATTCTCTTGTCTTTTTCTGGTGTCAGGAGCATCGTGCCAATGATTGGGGGAGGAAATATTACAAAGATCACTCACTTAACCCTGCTGGGATTCTCAGATTTTTCCAGAACTCTAGTAGTGCTCTTTGTTATATTCCTGGTGATCTACAGTATGACTCTGACCTGGAACCCATGCCTCATTGTTTCAACAAAGAAAGATTCTCAATGCCATACACCCATGTATTTCTTCTTAGAAATATTTCCTATATAGATATCACCTATGTCACCTCCAAAGTCCCCAGGATGCTCTCCGACATCTTCCAGGAACAGCAAACCATCCCTTCCTGGGTTGCATCATGCAGAACTTCAACTTTTCAATGATGGGACTGAGTTAGTCTTGTCTTATGATTGCCATGGCTCATGACAGCTGAGTTGCCATTTGTAACCCATTGCTCTATTCATCAATTATGTCACCTACCCTGTGTGTTCTGGTGGTGTTGGGAGCCTATGTGGCTGAATTCTCTGCTTCTTTGTCTCAATTATGTGCTTTGTCTCAACTCTACTTCTGTGGCCCTAATGTCTTCAGACACTTCTTTTGTGACATGCCCCAACTGTTAATCCTATCTTGCACTGACACTATCTTTGTGCAGCTCATGGATGTTACGTTAACAATGATCTTTAGGATGGCAAACATCCTAGTTAACATGATATCTTATATCTATATTGTCAACTCCATTTTGATGATCAGTACATCTAAAGGCAGGTCCAAGGCATTCAACACATGTTCTTCTCATCTGACGGCTGTTTCCTTCTTCTATATCTCAGGTAACTTTGTCTATTTCAGTTCCAGTTCTGGTCGTTCCTCCAGCTTTGACCGATTTGCATCAGTATTCTACACTGTGGTGATTCCATGTAGAATCCCTTGTTTAGAGTCTGAGGAACAAGGAAATTAAAGATGCCTTGAAGGGGTTACAGAAGTAGACAGGGTACTGCTAAGGTCACAAATTCTGAGAGTCTGACAGACTTGTTCTGGCAGAATCACCTTAACCCACAATAATATGAAAATACATGAATATGAAAAAATTCATTACTGCCTGCAGACAAAGAAAGCTGAATTTGACACAGACATATACCAAATGGACCAACAGTTTACTCAATGCCATGGAAACTCAGTATCCTCAAGTCCTGGAGGCTTATTATTTTCACTCTACATCCTGGGTAGCCTCATCATTTATGTATCTATCCAAAAGTATCTGTGAAACTGCAAGGTTTAAAAACTGTTTAGTTCTTTTGGAAACTTCAGGATTCCAGCCCTAGAGAAGAAATGCCTGCAAGAGGCCCAGATGAGTCCACAAACCCATCTCCTAAAGATTCTGATGCAGCCTAATAAAGACATGGTAGTAGTCATTGGTTATTGTGTCTCTAAACAGATGGGAATGAACAGACAGAGGGGATCTATTTTGTTGCAGAGGAATAAAGGTACACATTGGCTTTGGTGTGCCTTCTGCAAAGACCAATCTGAGATAGCTGAGGTTTATCTACGACTCCTCTCAGTGTTGAATAGTTTTTTACCATAACCCTGTTTCCATCAGCTGTGGCCTAAGGAAGGTAATTTGAATCATGAAGCGTGATGGAAAAAATACGGACCATTTGGTACAATTTAATTATGAACTTGATGGATTAATTTGTTGCATCTAGAGCACATGGAGATTTATGATGGGAAATGATATTCAAAGTCCATGTCACAGTCAATAACAATATCTGATACTGTGGAACTCAGAAAACCTACCCTACATTGACAAAGCCAGTGGGATCATACTATCAAATTGTTTCTAATATTTCAAGCATCTATTTATTTAAGGTTGGTTTGAAGAGTTCAAGCATCTATTTATTTAAGGATGGTTTGAAGAGATCTATGTGAATTTACTGTAATAATAGTCACTGAATATTCAATATTGCTGAGAAGAAGAAATATGAGAAACTGGTTTTTAACCTATCATATTGCCTATGATCAACATTTTGTGTCCCAGAGTTTTATGGATGTGTAGGGTGATTCAATAGATGGAGTAAAATAACTGTTACTTTAATGCTGGTATTAACCAGGAATCTCCAGAGGCCAGGGAAGGAAATAATATAAACTGTGTTCTCATTTCTGGTCTTTTTTTTTTTTTGTTTTCTCTTTCTTTCTATCTTTCTCTTTCTTTCTTCCTTTCTTTCTTCTCTCTCTCTCTCTCTCTCTTTCTTTTTTTGAATATTCATGAAATACAGAGTGGATTGTCACTCCTCCTTCCCATGATGTGAGGGCCAGATTCATACTGGCAGCATATCCATTACCGGAAATTGCTTTTGTGCCCTTTGTCTGCACCCAATTAACACCAAGCTCCCTCAACCTCACCCTTCCCCCAGAGTCTACTTTGTAGCCCAAAGAATGTTCTCTCCCTCGGCAAGACCAATGCACTACTGTGGTCTTTCTTTCCTTCCTTTTTTCTCTCTTAGCTCCCACCTATGAGTGAGGACATATAGTATTTATCCTTCTGTGCTTTGCTTATTTCACTCAACATAAGTTTTCCCAAGCTCATCCATGTTGCAAATGGGAGTATTTCATTCTTTTTTATGACAGAGTAGTGTTCCATGATGTAGATGGACCACAGTTTCCCTATCGAATCATACATTGATGGACATTTAGTTTTTAGTCCTCTGGGGGAACAAATCTTTAAGATTGTGCTCTCTGCTGCGTGATCTATATTTTGTTAACTCTAATTTTATCAACAATGTCATACAATTTCTTTGGAAGTTTTTTCAATGACATTGTTGGTAGGATTAGAATTAAAAAGCTATAGTTTATTTTAATATCATTTAATAATTTTGTAAAACTAAAAATGTGTTGTATTTTTTAAAAAGTAAATGTTAGAAATTTCTAAATGGCAGTCTGTTGGAAATAAAAGAACAATGAATATGGGAGTGCAGGTGTCACTTCGACATGATAATTTCCTTCCTTTGTGTGTATACCCAGCAGTGGGATTGCTGGTTCGTATAGTAGATCTA